AGTAAATATATAAGTATGACATATGAGACAACTCTGTATTTATATCTGGGTGGAGGATCTCATGAAGAATGAGGCGGTCAATAAATGACCTGAGCTTAGTTTTCTCCTGAGCACACCATCTTGGGGACTCCTCCTTGGAGTTGCCTCCTGGAACTCCCAGAATTAGCTTAGGGAGACCTATAGTGAAGAGTGAGGAGTTAACAATGATATGAGTAGGGACAGCATGAAAGTCAAAATCCTAAATTAAATAGGTCCCCATTGCAACTTTCAGGCTGGTGAGACCAGGAATTGTTTGAGTCACAAGGAAAAAGGTTTTTGCTTTTCTTGAGCCAGAGGTAACTGTTGATTGAGAGATCTTGGGCATATGTGTGAGAAGACCACCAAGAGACAGAAATAATTCACAAGAAAGAGTCAGCCGCCTCTTCATGGCAGCCCCTTTCTATCTAGAGGATAAAAAGTGGCTGCAAATTCCTTGGCAGCTGTCCATCAATGGGTGGGTTTGTTTCTCAACCATTTGGATCAGGGTGCACTTTGTGACCAACAGAATGGTTTGGAAGGGATGCTATTACAGCCCCTAAGAAATTGAAAGCTTGTACTTCCTGACTCTTTGAATTTTCTTTGTGAGGGCTCCAAATCCCCATGTGGAAGTGTGACTGTCTTGAAGCTGTCATGCTGAAAGGTCACAGGTGGACTCCTCGGTCCAATAGATCAGGTAAGCCCCAGCTTCCAGCCACTCTCACCAGGGTGCCACACATGGGAGTGAAGCCGTGAGGTCTTCCAAACCCACCCACCCACCCACCAGCTGAATTTCACTGAGTGGTTTCAGTTGATGCCTTGTGGAGCACAGCATCCAAGTTCTTGGAGGAGAACTGAGCCTTATCCCAAGATCTTGACCCATAAATTATGAGGTATAATCAAATAGCTGTTTTTTAAAAAGCCACTGAGTTTTGGAGTGATTTGTTTTTCAGTAACAGTCAGAGTAATCATCCTTCAGCTCTCTTTCTGGCCCAAATTGGAGAGAGCTTCAAGTGTTGGTCAAATAAGGACGATGCTTCTGGAGAGATGCAGGAGTGTGACTGGCACATGAGAGTATTTAGGGATGGCTGTGGCTCTGAGGTTGAGTCTCTGGGGACCGAGACCTTATCTTCATCGGTTCAGATTTAACACCTTATCTCTAGGTGCACGTGGGCTCTTGGGCTTAAAGGGATGCAATTGACCGTGATGATTCTGGAGTTCTGGAAGAGAAAGGACTGTCCTCTTATAGCCATGAGTCTTCTATTAATGTTGAAGGAGGAATCCCTGTTCTTCCTGGATGGGACATGGCTGTGGTGTTCATGGTATAATGAGACTTCCTTCTGAGGAAGAGGGTCTGGCTCATAGGATGAGGGTAGGGCTTTTTCTCCTTTGCCTCCTCATATTTTATGAATGTATAGGGTCAGATTGAAGTCTGCTATTCTTTATTCTATATCAAAATCAAGCAATAGTAAGAAAAGCAAGGCTTATTTGTCAATATAATAGCTGTTAAAAATCATGCCAAATAAGTTTGAGTTACTGTAAACATCATTTTATTTGTAAGTACTTATTAGTTATGTACTCTGTGCCTGGCCTTTAGAGCTAGAAACTAACTCTACAGAGACATCTAAGACACAGTCCTGCCCTTAAAGTGCTAACTGCCTGCCAGAAGGTTAAGATGTGTAAGAGAATTGCAACACAGGGTGGTGAGTGTTACAGGAGGAACAATCCAGTGGCTGCAGAAACCCAGGGAAGGAAAGGGAATATATTCCAATAACTTCTTGGGAATGGGCTGGACATATCAAATAAAATGGAACCTAGAGCTCTTTCATAAAGAGAAGAGCTTCAGAAATTGAGTGTGTCATAATTCAGGCTCTGCTACTTCAGAAGTGACAGCAGGGGTGATGGCAAGAAGTTCGGGTTAGTAGTGAGCACAACGAGGTCCTGTGTTACTGGAAAGGAGGAGGAAAGGTAGTCCTGGCAGATCCCAGCAGAGACCTCAGAAAGGAGTGGTGGCTTCTTAGGGACCTGAACATGACAGTGATGATGATGACATTCTTACTTATGATCTCTTTTCGATTCCCTAACATTTATGAGGAAGGAAATATCATGTCCTGCTTTGTAGGGGGGGAAACTGAGGCTGAGAATAGTTACATATTTGGATGAAGGCCGCACAACGAGTTAGTGACTGAGATAGGTTTCTTATTTTATCCCAGTCTGGAATAAAATTTCATATTCCTACTTTTCAGAAGAACCAAGCTTGGTAAGAGTTAAAGCCTCTGAGATTAATCTGGTACTTTATCAATTTTACAAAGTTTTATAGTCAGATTTTCCAGGATTTGGAGAGGATTCTGAGGTCACCTAGTCAGTCCAACAATAACTTAAAGCCCCATTGCACTTTTCCTACTTGAGAGGAGATTAGAAAAGTGATGGTAGAGATGACCTTCACTTCAGTTTTCTATTTTGCAGAGCTTGATCATCATATCAAATTACAGTCCATTCTGCTTTTTCCACCCCTTACGTGATGCATATTTTTCCATGTTTCACTTCACCTCCAGGAGGATTGAAATTTACTTGTATATAAAATTGTATATTCTCTTTGATCCTGAGTTTGTTATGTGATCAAGAAGACCAGAAAGAAATACATCCAAATGATAAATTCACCATCTCTGTGTTATGGACCAACTACTGATTTTTATGTCTGTTTTTATATTTTCTTCTGTACAGTCTAATTTTTTTTATAGTTCAACACACATGATGTGGAAGTGTTTTACTACAGACTGACAGTCTACATCTCAGATCTAGATCTTCAAATCCTATCTCAATCCAGGAGGTTCAGAGATAGGGTCCTTTTCCCCAGAAGAGAGTGGGTGAAATTGATGGAGATCAAAGTCCTCTTCTGCTTAATCCACACACACTGGGCTGAAAAGCCTTTGCGAGTGTCAAATGGAAGTGCTACCTTTCACACCCTCTTTCTCAGAGATGTTGGAAAAGATTAAAGTGACGAAGTCAACAAGTTTCTTTGAACTTTCTAGAAGAAAGGATGGATGCAGTACAAGATGTTATTTAATTCTAGTAGTAAAAGAAGGAGCTACTTGGGAGACATCTGTGGTGCTAGCTTTATTGATATTCCCATTATATTTATAATAGTAATACTGATACCCCCATTAAGTCAATTCCCATACCAACCGCCATAGGGAAACTGGCATCTGACCATGTTACTTCCCTGCTTGAAACCTTTCCAGGGCTTTCCATTGCCTGTAGGATAAAATTCAATTCTGTGTTATGGAACAAAATTGTCTACTGAAACCTGTGCTCTGAGCATTAAATCTTAGCAAGTCCCACTATACCTTGGGGCATTTGCATATGCTTGGCCTTCCATCCAAAATGTCTTTTCTTCTCTAGCAAACCTTGAAAATGCCTATGTAACCTTCAAAACCATTATTCAGAGACCTCCTCTAAGAAGACTTTTTGGATCTCTCTTTCCATCGTGAATGAATCCCATGCTTTGTGATTACATCAGTACTTCACATCTCCCTCTATTACACGAAACACAATGGGTTGCATTTACTTGCTTGCTTTTCTGTGTTCCCAAATGAACTATGAATTCTTTGATGGAAAGCATGGTGTCTCATTTGTTGCTCTATTCTCAGTGCCCAGAAAATGACCGACACAGAGGATTTGTGCCAAGGAAATTTGTTGAACTGAACTTTTGAACTGCATGTGAGAGGAATGGCAGGATCTGATATGGTTTGGCTCTGTGTCCCCGCCAAAATCTCATCTTGAATTGTAATCTCCATGTGTCAAGGAAGGGACTTGGTGGAAGGTGATTAGATTATGGAAACAGTTTCCCTGATGCTGTTCTTGTGATAGTGAGTGAATTCTCATAAGATCTGATAGTTTAAAAGTGTGTGGCATTTCCCCACTAGCTCCCTCTCTCTCCTGCTGCCATGTAAGACATGCCTTGCTTCCCCTTCACCTTCTGCCATGATTGTAAGTTTCCTGAGGCCTCCCCAACCATATGGAACTGTGAGTCAATTCAACCTATTTTCTTTATAACTGACCCCATCTCAGGTCATTCTTTATAGCAGTGTGAAAATGGACTAATACAGGATCCCAGTGGTGTAAGCCTTGAAACAACATGCAGAAGAGAGAAACATCTTGATGGACAAATATAGAAGTGTCTCTGTGTGATTTGTAATTTGGTCACATACCATAAATATCATTCTTTAGTATAATTCTTGCTTGTCTGAATTATGATGCGACAATCCTAGCCACTCTGGTTGAAAGCTCTGAGCTGTTGCTAAATATTGCTCTGTTCCTCCATGAAACAGACTGAGAATAAATGAAGTTGCAAGAGAGACATTCAAATGGACAGCTGCATGCACAGTCGTTGGCCTTGAACATCAGTACTGGACTGGAAACCAGAGATGTTCTGCCAGCCCACTTTATGATGAGGGGCATTTTGAAGGAAGGTCTCCAGGCACTCAACTGTGCACTCCATTAGCAGCATGAAGGTAGCTAATAGCTCAGTGCTGTGGTGACATGGAAATTGCTTCAGACTTCAGATGGGACTTGGGCTCACTGGACAGCCAAGAATCAGCCTCTGATGTTATTGGAACACAACTTGTGTTTCTGTTGCCATGTCCCAGTCCAAGTCAAACTCTGGGAGAGACATTGTCACAAAAATTTTATGTTAGCAGATTTCCCTTATGTTCTTTAAATTTCAACCTTCTTCAAATTAGCATGACTGAAAGGGTGCGTTATCAGGAGAAAGAGCACACTGGTTTGCATAGTTTGCCCTTGATTCTGAGAAACACTAGGTCCTATTCTGCTCAACAGACTTTTTTGTTGTTCTGGATGTGTTAGATATTCTATGACCAAACTTCTGGGTGTTCAATGCCAAACCTCAAAACTTTTGTATCAGATAAGACGAAGCAAACACTCTTATCTTTTCAACTTCTGCTCTCTGTGTGGACTGGAGGGGAGCAGCTGGAACAGGCTATAAGGCTCAAGGGCTCATGTGCCTAATACAGGTCTTTATTCAAGCAGGTATTGTTCAAATAGAGGTGCCTATGATGAAAAGTACAGCTGTTCAAAGTCACTTTGCCTCAAATAACTGGAGACTAAAGGTTGAGTGGCAGATTTGTAATTCTTTATCTTTAAATATCTCTGTATATTTTAAAAGTAATACATGTTCATTTAGTCTGAAAAACTTCAATTAGCACAAATTCATACAGAGTAAAATGTAAAACACTCATTGATCAGGATTTTTACCAACCAACTTCATTCCTAGAGGTAAGGACTAGGTAAGGATACTGCTTTCTATGTATCCTTCTGAGCATTTTCTGTGTGTGTGTGTGTGTGTGTGTGTGTGTGTGTGTGTGTGTGTGTAATAATTTGGGGGTTCACATAAATGGCATCATACTACTTATAGTATATCAGGATCCCAATAGGAAATAAATGGCATGCTGGAATTAGGATAATTTAAAGAGAGTTTAGTTAGTTACAAGGGATTATTTACAAAGATACGGGTGATCTACTCAGGACGCAAAAGATCAAGCAGAAAATTGGAGCTCGTGGCAGCAGAACTGTTAGCAGCCCAAAATCTGAAGGAATGAGAATGCTACTTTTTGGCTGGGGGCACACAGCCATCATGAGACAGCCTTGTGGTGAGGGAGCCAGCGAAGTAAACACTTGGATCTTTTTCCTTCACTTTCTCTGATGTGCTTCTGGGGCGTCCCAGGGGCTGATTCCAACAGGATGCCAGAGGGCAGGTCGGTACAGACCTGTCTCTAAGATGCAGGGTCGGGGACAGGGTACCAGAGTGGAGCATGGACCTGCAGCACATGTGTTGGTCTGCAGCTTGCTTTCTTGCTTTCTACCTTTAACAACTGATCATGGTTGTATTGTCATTTAAAAGAATACTCCATAGTATTCAGTTGTACTGTTCATCTCATCACTTACCAAAAAACATTTAGGTTATTTCAGGATTTTGGCTATTACCAAAAAGGCACTATGAACATTTTTAAAAAAATAATTTTGTGTGGTTGTACAGTTCACCAATAAAATAAATTGCTTAAAGTAGAATTATTGGTTTGAAGAGTGTGTGCATTTTAATGTAGAGAGTTTCTATCAAATTACATTACACCAGCAGCTTTCTGATATTTCCTCAACCAATGCTGGGTATTGTTCGTCATGACATCCTTGCCATTCAGAAAAGTGAAAAAGGATTTCTTGGGATTTTTTCGCTCTGAGTTTAGTTGAGCATCTTTATATGGCCATTGAACATTTAATTATATCTGTGTGTGGTGCTTGAGATCAGTTACTTGGCTTTCTCATGTGGATTTAAGGTTTTCCATATTTGTAAGAGCTCTTTGTATATGAGGGAAATTATCCCTGTGTCTGTGATATGACTTGCAAACTTTTCCCACACAAATCTTCATTTGTCTTTTGGTTTTGTTTATGTTTTCCCCCATTACAGTTATATTATATATAAACTATATATGTATTTCCCCATAGTATATAATATATATTTCCCCTATATTGTAGTTATTTATTTTTACCAAATCTAATTTGTCATTTTCCTTTGTGACTTTTTGTTTTTATAGGTTGCTTAAATTTTTTTCCTCATTGTGTGATTATAAATACATTATTGTTTTCTTGATATTTTCTCCCTTCCCTTCCCTGCCCTGCCCTGCCCTGCCCTGCCCTACCCTGCCCTTCTTCCCTTCCCTTTCTTCTCTCCATGTGTTTTTATCTTCAATTTAGTTTTAGTTAATTTTTATACAGGAATAAGGTAGTAATCTGGTTTAGTTTTATTGAATGGCTGGTGAACTGTCACAATGCCCTTGATTACATTATCTTTTTTGTCATTGGTCTAAAATATTTGCTTTAATATGGCTTAAATTTTTGTATGAATTTATGTTTGAGGTTTTGGAGGAATTCTGTTGCTCTGTCTATTCCTGAACCAACAATAAGTTGTTCTAATTATTATAACTTTATAATGTATATTAATATCTGGTGTTAGTCTTCCCCATTATTCATAAGATTTTTTCCCAATTTTCCCAAGTGTTTTTCCCCCAACAAACTATAAAATCATTGAAGTCTAGTTCTAAACATAACTTCTTGACATTTTAACTAACACTTGCAAAATATTTTAGGGAGATAGGTCCAAAGAATATTAACAGCAGCGCTGTGTGTAAAGGTAAAAACTACAATGGCTGAATGCTGATTAACAAGATGATATATCAAAACACATAAAATGCATCAGTGAGAAAAAATATATTGGTGTGATCAGCGTCAAAATGGATGACTCCTACAAACATAATATTAGGTAAAAAAGAATAAGTCACAGAGGAAGACAATGTTATATGTATGTGTCTATATATATATATATATATATGCATGTGTATGTATATATCTGTGTATAACATGATAAAGTATATTTTGCTTAGTAATGTATATTTAAATAGTAAAAGAAAAAATACATGGAAATGATAAGCACAAATCCAAGATTGTAGATACTCCTGGTAGGATGGGGGGATATAGCCAAGAAGTAGACACAGGCGCCTTCCCCGTATGGGTATTGTTTTACTCCTGCTTTCTTTTCTTTTTTTTGAGACAGAGTTTCACTCTTGTTGCCCAGGCTAGAGTACAGTCATGTGATCTTGGCTCACTACAACCTCTGCCTCCCAGGTTCAGGTGATACTCCTGCCTCAGACTCCCCAGTAGCTGGGATTACAGGCACCTGCCACCGTGCCCACTAATTTTTGTATTTTTAGTAGAGATGGTGTTGCACTATGTTGGCCAGGCTGGTCTCCAACTCCTGACCTAGGTGATCTTCCCACCTTAGCCTCTCAAAGTGTTGGGATTACAGGCATGAGCCACCACACCCATCCTTGTTTTACTTCTTAAAGCTAAGATCCAGAAGAATTTTCTGTGTTATTTACTTTTTTTTTTTTTTTTTTGAGTCAGGGTTTCACAGTGTTGCCCAGACTAGAGTGCAGCAGTGAGACCTCAGCTCATTGCAGCCTCCACTTTCCTGGGCTTAAGCAATTGTCCTGTTTCAGCTTCCCAAGTCACTTGAACTACAGGTGCTAGCCACCAGTGCCTGGTAGAGTAGGAGTTTTTGTAGAGTCGGGGTTTCTGCATGTGCCCAGGCTGGTCTCAAACTCCTGAGCTTGAAGTGACGGACCTGCCTCAGCCTCTCAAAGTGCTAGGGTTGCAGGCATGAGCCTCTGCACCTGGCTTATGTTATTCTTGAAACTCTTTTGTGTGCCTTTGATGTTGATGGTTGTTTTTAATTTAAAATGTCTACTAAGTACATAAGATAAATCAACATAAAATGGGATTATTTGCAGATAAGGAATGTCGCTATAATAATATTTTCAATTCTCTATGACTCCTAGTATATTTATTATTTCCCTGAACACATTGTATTGAGACTGTTTAAATAGTTCTGTGATTATATTTTTATAAGCTCTAAAAACATAACCAAGATTAAAATAGGAAGATTCCTGACAATTTAAGGAGCAACTCCCTATTGGAGAAATTTCAAAGAATTAAATGGATTTGACTAGATAAAAATCTTTAAAAAATGTGAATACTACAGAAGCATCATAAAACATTCAAAAGACAAATGAGAAATTAGAAAATATTTATAGTGGTATGGTAAAGGAGTCATGTACTTAATATGTAAAAATGTTCACACCAATCAATAAGAAAACATTAAAACTGTAATGAGACGTGAGCAAAAGACCTGAACAGGAACTTTACTGAAGAATAAATACAAATGGCCAATAAACAAACGAAGCAAGCTTAACCTTATTAAAGTCAATTAAAACAGCACGGGGAGTTTTTTCTTGGTAAATAAGCAAAGATTAAAGGTAATATAAAATATCGACAAGATCCATGAGGCAGGCATTCTCACAGACTGCTAGAAGGGGTTTCATCTGCTAAAACTTTTGGAAAGTAATGAGAAAATATTTCCAGAGCCTTAAAACAGATAATGATTCAAAGCAGTAATTCATTAATTCATTTTAGAGAGCTATCCTGAGCAAGTAGACAGAAAAATTCAAATATTAATTTGTGTGAATATGCGTCCAAGTTTGCATGTTTACTCACTTCACGAAATCTTTAGGGCCAAAGACATAATCAATACACTTCACTTTTTCTTGATTATGTTTTCATGACCTCTTTGTCGCTGTAAATCCCCATGTCTAGTGGAAAAGCTACTGTGTAGATAGAGTATTGTTCTCACCTTCAGAAGCAAGAGGATGAGACATGCTCATTTGTTGCTTAGGGAAAAAAGAAGTGAGTCCCCTTAACCACCCAGAAGAAATCCATGTCCTCCCTGCATTCTCCTGTTTCTGCCTGAGGTTTTCTCCCGTCCTGTGCTACCATATAAAGCAGGGCTTCTCAGCCTCGGCCGCGATTAATATGGGACTGGGCAATTCTTTGTTGTGGGGCTTTCCTGGGCATTGCAGGCAGTTGCATCCCTCACCTCTACCTATTAAACGCCAGTAGATGACACAATGTTCCCGGACATTTCTGAAAGCCTCCTAAGGGAGGTGGATCATTGTTCCCTGTTGAGAATCACTGGTTTCAAGAGTTTGTCTTACCAAGGGTTGGTGTCTTGTTTCCCTGGGTTGGGAACATAGGCCCTACCTCTAGGGCAGGAGTTTTGATGTCACATTATAAGAAGAATATGTGGGATGGGATTGTATTGAAGTGGCTAGCTTTGGAAAATGCTATCTATCTGCCTCAACAGCCTTGTCACTAACCCACTCTGCATTCTTGGGTGTCCATTTCCTCTCTGGTTCTCAGTTTCTTCATCTGCAAAATGAAGAATTTCAGCTCAAAGCAGTGGTTTCTAAGAAGCATGTCATGGCCTATGTAGGGGATGCTGTGAGATAAAGGACTCAGAGAGGGGGACACCCCTCTTTCTTCTTCCAAATAAACTGTACTTTTATGTTTTGTATTTTGGTATTTCAAGTAAGTCTCGTAACAATATGATCATGTATATGCATTGCAATATATTCTAATGATGCCAGTTCTGTGATGGTTGTGTGGGGCCCTGAGGACAAGTGCACACCCTGGTGTGAGAAGAGATGGAATTTTCCGTGGAAGGGAATAGGCCTCCTAGTGTGAAGGGGCATGGAGTTTTTCATGGAAAGGAATTAGTGTTGCTAGTGGACAGCATTAGCCACAGGGCGGGAAACTTGCCTTTGGCCTGGCCAAGACCAGTGGATAGGACTTAGAGGCACAGAGGAGCCATGAAGTGTTCTTCTCGTGTTGGTGAGCCACTCCTGATAAATGGAAGCAGACATGGGGCCAACAATACTCAAATTACTTTGATTTTCACGGGGAATAGCAGCAAGCAGCCAACAGCAGGGGCAGGAGCTATGGAGACCTGCAGCCTCGAGGTGGGCGTATTTGTTTTATTCTTGTTACCAGAGGGGCCCAGGTGGACCCTGTGTATACAGAGAGCTGTAGTTTATCCTCAAGGCCACATTAGGGGCATCAGCATTAGACATCTGAAGAAACAGCTGTGCCTGTTGGAGTCAGGACTTGAGGAGTTAGAGAGACTTACTGTAGAGCCACTCTAGCTGGCCTTTTGGTTTCCCTAGAACGGGATAATGTAGAAACAACTAGTACCACACTAGTAAGTAAGACCATGACAGGCAGCAGGTCAGGAGTCAGTTGAGCTCCGGTTTTAGAAATGAATCAATTTTTAAAATAAAGTATACTGCCAGGACTTGGCAGTTCTGATGTTCTCATGGTGGGGGTTTTGACCAAAGGTAGCTCACCTGAGACAGGAGCGCTTTGGTTCACTAACTCGATAAAATGGTCTCAGGTTTGTCTGGGTCAAGAACCAGGTAACTCCAATTCTCAATCCATGTCTGCTTTCCTGCCTCTCTATCATAATGCTCATCTACTCTCATTTTTTAACAAATGTTCACAGACAAAGCCAAACATGAGTCTGTTTTTGCTTTTTGTTTTGAGTAGATTCTGTCATTTATGTTTTATGTAGAAGCTGTCACCCTGAAAAAAAATCCTTAAAAAGTGATTTTTTTTTTTTTCTTTTTAAACTGACCGAAGATTTTACAGAGATGTAGAGGTGAGAAAAATCTCCTGGCTTTTCATCCCTTGAAATGTGAAAAGTTGTTTTAATAGTGTCATTTGCCATTTTTGCTATCTCTTTTTCAGATCCATTTTTTTTTCCTGAGCCTGACTGAAACCATGATAAGATCCGCAGTTCCCGGGGTGAGCCTGATTTCAGAGCTCAGTGATCTGAAGGATAGAGATCGTTCAGAAAAAGAACTCATTAGCATGACTCAAGAGTCTTGGAAGGTAATAATTTCAAGATGAAGGATTGAGAACAACACTGGGCTTTTGTCATGACTGAAGGAATCCCTTTGCTGGGCAACTTGACAATTTCTGAAGCTGCTTTACCACTGGGCTCATCATCAGGAGCTATTTTAGGTACTTCCTGCTGTAAGGGTTTTGACAAGTCAGATATAAGGAGGCACAGTGTGTGTGTTCTCACATTCTTTTCCCATTGGGTAGTGCTATGCTTTGAATATCCATCCCCTCCAAAAGTTACATTGAAATTTAATTTTTAATGTGCTAGCACAGAAAGGCGGGGCATTTAAGAGATGATGAGGTCATGAGAGCTCTGCTCTCCGGAATGCATTAATCCATTTTTGGATTAATGGGTTGTCAAGGGAGTGGGACTGGTGGCTTTATAAGGAGAGGAAGAGAACCAGAGGAACAAGCTAAGCCCCCCATCATGTGACGTCCTGCGCTGTCTCGGGACTCTTCAGAGGGTTCCTAGCAACCAGGAGGCTCTCACTGGATGCAGCCCTTGACCTTGGTCTTTTCAGCCTCTGTAACTGTAAAGAATAAATTCCTTTTCTTATAAATTACCTAGTTTCAGGCATTCTGTTATAAGCAACAGAAAACAGATTAATACAGGCAGGTAAAGAGATTGTGTCCAGAGTTTTTAGAAGCCAGGAAAATGCACTGTTTCTCCAGTGTGGTTTTTGGATGAGGCTGCCAGGGTAAGTCAGCATGTTGCTTAGAAAACCGAATCAGAGTCACTATGACTACATTACTACTACCCCTATTAACTAGTACGACTACATGGATATAATTTATTAAAACTGCCAGTGTAACAGTCACCAGGGTTCAAAAGATGATTAGGACATTGTCTCTGCCCAGGAAAAGACCAGCTTCAAGTCTGCATAGTGAGTGGGTGGCAGAGTGGGGTTTGGTGTTCATTGCTTTTGCCTCTCATCCTGGTCTAGAAAAAGTCCTCAGAAGGGATCTATACCCAGAACCTTTCAAGAAAACATGTATAAGCACTTACCTTCCTCAGTGTCTCCAGAATTTATATCCTCCTTCCTCCTTTGGATGCCTTCTTAATTGTAGCTGCCATTGAATTCAGCATCTGTGGATGTAGGGATCATGACAGATGTTTCCCCCACATAAACTCACTAATGCTCACGACAGACTAGGCTAAGACTAGGTAAGTAGATGTCTCAAGTTTGAGAAAATATATTAGGGAACTAACAGGGAATTTAGGGGACCTGCCGGAGGCTATACAGCCAGTAAGTGGCAGAGCTATAAATCAAGTCCAGGTTTCACCTAATCCCAAAGCTCCTCAACCTTACATCATTCTTTGTTATAAATATGTATTCATAATTAGGATTCTAGGAGTAGTTGTAGAAATTATCAATGTGTTTTTTAAACTCTAACACTTACAGGATAAGTCCACTTTCCTGTTTCTTTTTTTTTCCTTCGACCTTCAAAGGAAACTCTTCAAACTCTTTTAGTTATGCATTGTTCTCAATTAATTTCAAATTGGGTCTCAGAATATTTTATTTTTATTCATTTTAATTTTACTTACATATTTATGTTTTTATTATGGTAAGAACACTTAAGATGAAGTAAATTCTTAACAAATTTGTGATTGCGTAACACAGTATGTTAACCATAGGCACAGTGTTGAACAGCAGATTTCTAAACTTACTCCTCTTGTTTAACTTTATACCTAATGAACAGCAACTGCACATTTCCCCCTCCACTGCAGCCCCTAAAAGGTACCATTCTACTCTCTGTTTCTGAGTTTGACCATTTTAGATACCTCATATAAGTGGAATCATGCCGTGCTTGTCCTTCCATGACTAACATGTCACTTAACGTAATGTCCTTCAGGCTCATCCCTGTTGTTGCACGTAGTAGGATTCTTTTCTTTCTCTCTCTCTTTCCCCTCCCCTCCCCTCCCTTCCTCTCTCCTCTTCTCTTTTATTTCCTTTTCTTTTCTTGTGACAGGCTCTCACTCTGTCACCAGGCTGGAGTACAGTGGCATGATCACAGCTTGCTGCAGCCTCTACCTCCCAGGCTCAAGTGATCCTCCCCCCTCAGCCTCCCAAGTAGTTGGGACTAAAGGTGTGCACCACCACACCTGGCTAACTTTTTGATTTTTTGTAGAGATGAGGTCTCACTCTGTTGCTCAGATCTAGAACTCCTGGACTCAAGTAATCCACCCACCTTGGCCTCCCAAAGTGTTGGGATTACAGACACAGGCCTGCATGCATATCCAGGATTTCTTTCTTTTTAAGGTTGAATAATATTCTATTGTATGCATTGTTACATTTTCTTTATTGATTTATCTATTGGTGGACACTTAGGTTGATTCCTTAGCTTGCCTATTATGAATAGTGCTGCAATGAACATGGGAGTGCTGATATTTCTTCAACATACTGATTTTATTTCTTTTGATTATATACCCAGAAGTGGGATTGCTGGATCATATGGTAGTTCTATTATTAATTTTTTGAAGAAGCTCCATACTGTTTTCCCTAGTGGCTTTAACATTTTACATTCTCACCAAAAATTAACAGTGTACAAGTGTTCTCTTTTCGTCACATATTTGCCAACACTTATCTTTTCTTTTTTTGATAATAGCCATCCTAATAGATGTGAGGTTCTTATTGTGGTTTCGATTTGCATTTCCCTGATGATTCGTGATGTCAATTTTTAAAAATGTATTTATTGATCATATGTATGTCTTCTGTGGAGAAATGTATGACCAATCATTTACCTATTTTTAATTGGATTATTTGTTTTCCTGCTCTTGAGTGGTATGATTTCTCTGTGTTTTGGATATTAACCACTTACCAAATGTATGGTTTGCGAATATTTTCTCCCATTTCATAGGTTGCCTTTTCACTGTGTGATGTTTTTTTTTTTTTTTTTTTTTTTTTTTTTTGCTGTGTAAATCCTTTTTGGTTTGATATAGTCCCACTTGCTTGGTTTTGTTTTTGTTGACTATGCATTTGGTGTCAAATCCAAGAAATAATTGCTGAGATCAATGTCATGAAGGTTTTTCCTAGTAAAATAATTTCAGGTCTTAAGTCTAAATCATTAATCCATTTTGACTTTACTTTTATGTATAGTGTAAGATAAGCAACAATTTCATTTTCTTTTTTTTTTTTTTTTNTTTTTGCTTGTCAGTATCTAGTTATCCCAGTACTATTTGTTGAGACTATCCTTTCCTCATTGTGTAGTCTTGGCACCCTTGTCAAAGATCAATTGACTGTATATGTGTGCGTTTATTTCTGGGCTATCTACTCTGTTCCATTGGTCTTTATTTCTGTCTTCATGTCAGTAGCATACAATTTTGATTACTGTAGCTTTGTAATATATTTTGAAATCAGGAAGTATGAGGCTCCCAACTTTGTTCTTCGATTGCTTTGGCTATTCAGGGACTTTGTGGTTTCATGTGAATTTTAGGATTTTCCGTGTCTGTAAAAAAATATCATTGGGATTTTGACAGAGATTGTGTTGAATCTTTAGATTGCTTTATTTAGTACAGGCAATTTAACAGTAACAAATCCAATCCATAAACATGCAGCATCTTTCCATTTATTTGTATTCTTTAATTTCTTTTTACCATGTGTTGTAGTTTTCCTTGTACAAGGAGGCTTTTGCCTCCTTGGTTAAGTTTATTTCTAAGTGTTTTATTCTATTTATTTTTTCTATAAATGACATTGTTTTCCTAATTTCCTTTTTGGATAGTTTGTTGTTAGTGTATAGAATTGCAACTGATTTTGTATGATGATATTCTATCCTGCAACTTTAATGAATTTATTAGTTCTAACAATATTTCGTGCATAGTTTTTATGGTTTTCTACGTATAAGATCATGTCATCTCCAAACAGATAATGTTACTTCTTCCTTTTCAATTGGATACCTTTTATTTCTTTTTGTTGCCTAATTGCTCTGTCTAGTACTTCTAGAACTATGTTGAATAGAAGTACTGAGAGAAAGCATCCTTGTTTTGTTTCTGGTGTTAAAAAGAAAAGGTTTTCGTTTTTCTTCAGTGAGTATAATGTTAACTATGGGATCTTCACATGTGACTTTTATTTATTTATTTTTGGTTTGATATAGTTGATATATCTCAACTTAATCTATCAATTTTTAGTTAAAGTTGTGAGATATCATGAACATAAAATTTTATATATTTAAGATGTACAACTTGATTTTTTGATATATTTATATATTGTGAAATACTCACCATATTTGAACTAATTAAAATATCTTACATAACTTTTATTTTGTTGAGATAGATGTTTTTCTATACCTATTTGTTGAGAGTTTTTATTGTAAAGGGTGTTAAAATTTGTTAAATGCTTTTTTCTGCATCTATTGAGATGATTATGTGATATTTATGCTTTATTCTCTAAGGGGGTTCTATTACATTAATTGATCTGCACATGTTGAACCATCCTTGCATTCCAGGGACAAATCCCACTTGGGTTAACGTGCTGCTGAGTTTCATTTGTCTGGCTTTGATATCAGGGTAATGCTGATCTCATAAAATGAGTTTAGGAAGTTTTCCTTTTTCTTTGATATTTTGGAAGAATTTAAAAAGAATTCATGTTAATTATTTTTTAAATATTTGGCAGAATTCTTAAGTGAGACCATGTGGTCTTGGACTTTTCTTTGTAGGCCAGTTTTTGATTACTGATCAAGTGTTCTTATTTATTATTGTTCTGTCCAAATTTTTCTATTTCTTTATTTTATTTATTTATTTTTGCATGCTAAACTACTTTAGTCAATTTATTTCTTTATAATTCAGTCTTGGTAGATTATTTGTTTCTATGAATTTATGCATTTCTTCTAGGTTATCCAATTTGTTGATGTTAAATTGTTCATACTAGTCCTATGATCTCTTCATTTTAGTTGTTTCAGTTATAATGTCTCCCCTTCATTTCTGATTTTATTTATTTGAGTCTTTTCTCTTTTTTTTTCTTAGTCTAGCTAAGGGTTTGACAATTTTGTTTATTTTTTCAGAAAGCCAACTCAGTTTTGTTGAATTTTTCTATTGTTTTTCTATTTTCTACTTTATTTCTGTTCTAATCTTTATTATTTTCTTCCTTCTACTAACTTTGAGTTTAGTTTGTAGGAGACCTCAGTACTCCATTTTTGACAACGAAGACAGATAATCAATAAGAAAACACCAAATTTTCACAACACTGTAGACCAAATAAATGGGCCTAGCAAGACATATACTGAACATTCTACTACCCTCTTTCTTCTATATCCCAGCTTCCCCTTCTACTGCTTGTGGCAGATAGGACAAATAAAAGATCGTTTTACACTCTATATCTTATATATTAGTTTCCTAGGGCTGTCATAACAAAACATCATAGTCTGAGTGGCTGAAGCAACAGAAGTTTATTTTCTCACAATTCTGGAGGGTAGAAGCTGGAGATCAAGCTACTGCTCATGTGTTTTCTTCTGAGGCCTCTCTCCTTGGCTTGCAGATGGCCACCTTCTTGCATTTGTTGCAAGAAATCCTCACATGGCATTTTCCTGTGCATGCACATTCTTGATGGCTCTTTCTTTTCTTATAATGACCCTAGTCATATTGGAGAGCCCCCCTCCCTTTTAAGACTGCATTTAACCTTACTTACCTCCTTAAAGCCCCTATCTACAAATACACTCCCATTTTGAGGTATACTGAGGGTTAGGGCTTCATGATAGGAATTTTGGGAAAGGGGAAACAATTCAGTCCATAAAATATATATTCGAAAATCAGTGTGAAAGATGTGATGATCAAGAAGACATTCTCTCCGTCCTCTAGGAGCTTACAGGGTAGATGGAGATAACTAAAGAAAGAGAGGGACTGTTCGTGATTTTGAAGCTCAGTGGAGGGTCAGACCACCGTGAGCTACAGTGCTTAAGGAAGACTTCTGGGATGCGCCAAAGAACAGGGTGCCTTGAAAGATGCACACACATTTCTAGAAATTCAAAAGGATCTTTTTTTCTTTTTTTGAAATAGAGTTTCACTCTTGTTGCCCAGTCTGAAATGCAGTGGCACGATCTCAGCTCACTGCAACCTCTGCCTCCCAGGTTTGAGCGATTCTCCTGCCTCAGCCTCCCAAGTAGCTGGGATTACAGATGCCTGTTACCATGTCGTGCTAACTTTTGTATTTTTAGTAGAGATGGGGTTTCACCATGTTGGCCAGGCTGGTCCCAAACTCCCAACCTCAGGTATCTGCTTGCCTCAGCCTCCCAAAGTGCTGGGGTTACAGGCATGAGCCACTGTGCCCGGCCAAGAAGTCCATCTTAACTGCGTATAATTGTTTAAGCATTCCCTGGGCATCTATTCTCTGCAAGGCACTGAACTGAAGGAGGAGAATACAAAGACAAGGATTTGTACTGGAGTTGCCCACACTTCAGGAGAAGGACGATTTTAGAGTCAAGGATTGACAATAGATTAGACAGGGAAGTTTGCAGCCTAGACCAGCCATTTAAAGTTGCTTTTGGGGGAACAGCTGAATCTCTAACAAGTGATACCTAGATGCATCTCTCAGGCTCAGAGGTGGCTACAGAGGGCACTGCATGGGCTTATAACCTTGGGCCTATTCCCAGGATTCCTGAATCTCTCCCCTTTGCCTAAGACTACTGTCCCTTTCCTGATCACTTTGTTTTGATTGACTGCTTAGTTTCCCTCTGCCATTTAGCTTACATATTGTTCACATTTCAAGTTTCATGTGGCAGGTTATTGTCTTTTGTATTTTACTGTTTGCAAAGTTCAGTCTACATGTGTGATGTCTTTCATAAACCATGAATGTTAATCAGAGTTTAGGTGTCAGCCACAACAAATTTTGACCTCACAATGTCTAAATTCTAAAAACGTTTGAAACCAGAATGCAAAACCATTGTCCTCACAACTCTCTGTAATTTCCATTAATTGCTCTAATATGCTGGTTCCTCTTTTCGATTGCATGCCCTTTAGAAGAAAATCATTGATACATTAATTACAGCTTTCATCTGGAGGTTCGAGCATTTCTAAACATTTATTTGGATTTCATGCCCAACTGGGGGATAATTGCACATAAAAGGATCATGCTGGGTTAGATGCTGACATGGGATTTTAAAATATCCTTCCTCTAGTATAAATAGCCCAATTGGTAGCTCAGGCATGCATCTGATCGCTCTGTGCAGCTTGACCGAGTGCATTTTCTGTTTAGTGATAACACAGGACAATAGATGGCACTCCGAGAGGTAACCTTCAAGCTCGATGGCTGATGCATGCTTTCCGATCCAAAGTTGTGGCAGGTGAGATTATAAAGCCTGAGTCTTGGAGAAATGCTGCAGGATGCCAGAAATGAGGCAGCAGGAATACAGCTTTCTTTTTCAAAGGAGAATCCCAGAAGGACATATCTAATCAATGTGGGATGACCACAATGTTGCTTGGAACAGGGGATGCCCAACTGAATTCCAGCAGATCGCACCTTGCTGTGGCTCCTCTCCTTTTAATGATCTGGAAGGTGCTCCTTGGGGTCTCTGCTGCACATCTTGGAGGGTCTGATGTGCCTCAGTCTTGCTTTGTGCTGGACCCCTGGCTTTCTTCCTCTTCCCTGACCTCCCGACCTGTACATATTCTTGCTGCTTCAATGATGTAACGCTTTTCTTTAAGGTTTGCTTATCTTCGCCTATGAAACCATAGGTGAATAATTATAAACAAAGGGTTTTAGCCATGTACTTAAGAAGGAATTTGGCAAACAAATGGTTTCCATGAACTCACACTGACATTGTTTCCTTCTGGATTGTCACCACCCACAGAGTGGGACGGGAGCCAGAGAACAGCCTTCCGGAGTACACTGATTGGGGTCCTGGGTGAAGCCAGTTGTTTGCAGTGTTCCTCCTACTTGATGAATTTCTCTCAGGGGCAGGGCTGGGATGCAGAAACTGTGGATTAGTCCACCAATCACCACGTATGTGCCCAGTGACCTTGATGACATCAGCTCAAATGGGCTTCCTTTCTACCAACACACAGGAGCATTTTAATGCAATCACATGCATTCATACAGATAATAGCTACAATTTAAAACTACCATTTATCAGTCACTATGTGCCAAGCATTAGATTAGGAAATTTACATACATGATTTAATTTAATCTTCATGATAGCTTTGAAAATTAGTTATTATGCAGCTTGCCCAGAGTCATGAAGTTAATAAGAAAACCCCAAGTCTGAGATGCAGGTTGAACTCCAGAGCATTGTTCTTTTCCCTGTACCAGGCTGCATCTCAGCCAACACCTCAGATCCATTTAAGTCCAAATATATGTGTATGCACACATTTAGGTAAGCACGTGGATGTATGGAAAAGGTTACGTTTACACCAGGAGCATGAGTTTTGTGTCTTTGGTTCCAAATTCCCTGGGACACGGTTTTATCATCTCATCCTGAGCCCCAAATGATCCTTTCCAGCCTCTCTCAGAAGCAAGTACTTATGGCTTCTCCTTGTTTTTATTTTCTGTGTAAGTGAAAACATCGTAATATTTTTTACATGTGTTACAGAATAATTGAGCTAGTTTTCATGTCATAAATTATGTGGCTGATTCCTTATACTTTTGAACCACCTGTGTTATATCTGACAGGTACACCAGTTTTGTTTACTGGGAAGTTATGTGCCTCCCTTATTTCTATTGTGATTAAGGCTATATCCATCATTATCTGATTTAATCCTCCTAGTAACCTCTGAGGAAAGGATTATGATAATATCCTCAATTTTATGGCTGAAAACATTGAGACTCAGAGAGCTTACAACATTAGTTTTAAATCACCAATAAGAAAGTAGCAGATCTGGGATCCCCAGTTTCCCCTTCTTCCCCCTCCCTGACTTGAAGTCCCATTCTTTCTACACTTACTCAGCAGGGCTGTGTGTGCTCCCTCATCTGCCTCCTGGGACACCCCTGGGTCCTGAGCAGGAGGCTTGCCCCGTGCACGCCCAGCTTGTTTCCCATGCCTGCCAGGATCAGGGGAGGAATAAACAGGGGCTCAGCAGGCCCTGTGTTTGTGTTCTGCCTTGTTTCAATAAAATATGATCTTCCTGAAGACAGCCCAATGCAGTCCACTGAGTTCATTAAATCAAGAGCTCTCTCCATGCTGCTCCCACTAAAAGACACCTTCACTTATGCACAGGTGGTGGTCCTGAGACTCCAGTTGCAGGGGACACCTGTTGGGGGGAGCTGCGGCCGAGCTGGGAATGTGCTCTCTGGACATGGCAGGGGGATGGAGATTTGAGACACAACTTCACACCCACATCTCATTTTATGCTTTTCCAAAGTGAACTTACAGATCTTATTCCATTTTGATGCTTATGGGTTCAATTATCCCCCTTTTGTAGATGACTGAGCAGAGGCCTGGCAACATGAGGTGACTCCTTCAGCATCACTCAGCATGCTGGTGGCAGAGCTGGGATCCAGGTGAGCTTACTTTTGATGAGGCATTTGCTTGTTGTGTTAAATGACAACACTTCTACGTGGACTGGTTTTTTCTTTTTTCTTTTAGTGGCACTGCTATCCTTCCCTAACCTCATTAGTTTGTGACTGCAAATACATGCTTTCCTGTGGTTTAGCCTTTTTGCTGTCATCTGCCTCTAATTGCTGGAAAGGTTTTCTTTATGCTGAGCTGAAATCTCCTGTTTCATTCTAACTCAGGCCCTCAAAGCTTTATGGAATAAGTTTTCAGCCCAGGTCTTCTCTTGTCCCAATGTCTCTGATTTCTTCAGCCTGTTCTCATGGGAGAGAGAATCTAGGCCTCTCTCCATCCTGATTGACTTTCTCTGGATGTACATGCTATGAAAAATGAAAGTTCAACTCCCCAGGTGGGATCTAATCAGGTCAGTGCCTAGGGAGGTCTCTGCCAGCTGTGTTGGGCTCCCAGGGCTCTAGCTGAGGTGCTCTCTGAAGGGGTCCTCTCCATCACTCAGGCATGGGTTTATTTCCTGATAGGGCTCACTGGACCTTCCAGAGGCATCTGCCTATCTTCCCCAGTACAGGTTTGCTCTGTGAGAATGGGCATGGTGTTATATTCTCTGTCCAGTTTAAAGTGTCAACAATGCAAAGGTTAAGAAACCTTTAATTTATTATCTAAAAAATAAATCCACAGATAATGAGCTGCTTCATCAACAAGGAACATTTACTGTGCATCAGTTATGTACAAGGCTTGGTGTCAGGCCGTAAGACAGTAAGATGTTGTCCTCATAAAAACAATTTCCCTACATTTGTGGAGCCCATTGGAGTTTACGATTGTCTCTATACCAATCATCTCACTAGAATCCGCGCCCCTCTGCAGAATATAGAAGTGGACTATGCATTGACCCCAGTCTGGGGACAGATTTTGCAAGGGCCAGGAATCAGAAAAATAGAGGGAATCTCAAAACAGGGGTTAAACAGAGAGCGTTTGGGACATGGAGTGTCAACAAAGGCCAGTGAAGGAGACAGAATATTGCTCATACAGATGGGCTAGAGGCAGATACTGAAGCTAGTGTTTGCAGCAAGGCCTCTGGGAATGGAAATGTTAAAGAGCAAGAAGGTCATAAGGGAACCTAAGGGATTTGGCCTTCGAGGTCTGCTTTAATTTATCTTCTGCCATGTGGTACGCAGGTCAAAAAACAGTCAGCTAAAGGGTGGAAGAGATAACAATTTGAGGACATTCGCCACATTACAGAGGAGGAAAAATGGAGATTCCTGGCGATTGTGAATGTTATAAGCAATAGAACCAAAATTAAATTCTAGCCTCCTGACCCCCTAATCCAGCCGCTTTCTGTCACCCCTCACCACTTCTGCCTCAAGGACATTCTCTTTCCCCCACTAACTACGATAACCCAGATTGGAACAAGCTGGGTGAGTATTAAATGTTGTATATTGTCACACTGGGCTCGAGAATTGGGAGCTTCCACCCTAGGTCGTGTACATATTTTAGCCCATTAAAATGTCAACAGCTGCCTGCTGAATCATGTGGTAGGAATATACTTTTGATTCAAAGCAGCAGCCAAACTTTTATTTGTGGATATTTTTTGTTAGATAACAAATTACGGGGTTTCTTAACTGTTTCGCTGTTGATACTTTGGACTGGACAGTTCTTCGTTGTAGGGGCTGTCTTGTGCCTTGTAGAATCTTGAGCGGCATCCTTGGCCTCTACCCACTAGGTGCCGGTAACACTCCTCTCTCCAGTTGACTACCAAAAATGTCCCCAGATATTGCCAAATGTCCTCTAGGGGGCAGAATTTCTTTCCATGCTCTGCATTGAGAACCGCTGATCTGTTCATATGATTTTAAACTCAAAAGACACCAAAGGTGTGCAAGGATCTTTTTAGAATAATGACTTCTTTTACTCTGGGAAGATACCCAGTAGTGGGATTTCTGGATCAAATGGTAGCTCTACTTTTAGTTATTTAACGAATCTCCACACTATTTTCCATAGTGGCTGTACTGGTTTACATTCCCATCAGCAGTGTAGAAGTGATCCCTGATTGTTGCATCCACGCCAACACCTACTGGTTTTTGATTCTTTGGTTATGGCCATTCTTACAAAAGTAAAAATATATTTGCACGTGCATGTTTATAGCAGCGAAATTCACAATAGCAAAATCGTGAAACCAACCCAAATGCCCATCAATCAACGAGTGGATAAGGAAACTCTGACATGTATATGATCATATATATACATGGAATACTATTCAACCATAAAAAGGAGCTAATTAACAGCATTTGCAATGATCTGAATGAGATTAGAGACTATTATTCTAAGTGAAGTAACTCAGGAATGGAAAACCAAACATCGTGTGTTCTTACTGATATGTAGGAGCTAAACTATGAGGACCCAAAGTCATAAAAATAATACAATGGACTTTGGGGACTTGAGGGGAAGAGTGGGAGGGGGCTAGGGATAAAAGACACCAAATATGGTGTCGTGTATAATGCTTGGGTGATGAAGACACCAGGTTCTCACAAATCTCCACGAAAGAACTTACTTATGTAACCAAACACCACCTATACTCCAATATTATGGAAAAATAAAGTTTAAAAAAATTGCCTAGAATAAACTTGGAACTTAGAAAAAAAGATACCAAAGGTCCAAGAACAATCTCTCTTTCTTCTGCCCAACCACTCAGCTATTTTTTTTTTTTCCTAAAGTGCTCTATATGGCGTTTTGGGTTTTTGCAATGAAGCCACACTTGTCATTGCTGAGAACACGGAAGCGCTGCATATGAAGAGGGGAGATGTTTCTGTGTGGCTGCCGGAGAGGCCTGACAGCCAGGCTGAGGCCACTGCTCTAGGCTGGCTTTGCAAAATGTAGGCAAGCATTAGAAAAGGGAAATTAGGGCTGGGTCTTTGGTCCCCACCTCTGAATAGTATGATGTCTAACCTGCCTTCAAGAACACAAGGAAACAAGTTGAGATAAAACTTACTCCTCACTCAACCCTGCTCACGCTTCCTTAGAGCCAAGGAGTTCCTTCCTGCCATTGACACAGCCAGCCTTTTCCATAGCTTAGCTCTAGTTCAGCGTTTCTCCAGATGTTCGTAATAAGTGCCTCATGTGTGCAAAGCATTTTCCCAGGTAAAATACACATTATTATTTTCTTAATAGACCTCCACAGACACAAACACTCCCATTTGACAGATGAGAAAATGAAGTCTCACGTGGGTCCACATTTCCTCTTTAACTAAAAACAATTGTAAATTAGTCTCAAATTTTAGAAAAGTTATAAATGGAGTACAAAAACTTTTCTTGAAGCATTTGACAGTAGGTTCTTTTCCTGATACCCTATCACACGCAAATACTTTAGAGTGTATTTCCTATGAACAAGGACCATCTTCTACATGACCGTAATACACACACAAAATCAAGTTAACATTCATTCTTTCCTATCATCTAATCCTCTGTCCCATTTAAGTTTTCCTGTTGTTCCAGTAACAGCCTTTAGCGTGAATAGATCCAGTTCAGAGTCACATGATACAGCTACCAGTTGTGCTGCTTGAGACTTTTTCTACGTGGATCAGTTTCTCAGTCTTTTTTGACTTCCAGAACACTCTAAAAAATATAAATTTGAATCCAATTTTAATTTTTTAGCCAATGTTTATCATCTTCAATGGAACTGAAAAACTTATGTAGTTCAAAATTTACAAAATTAAATACAAGTAAAAGGAATGTTAGTCATCTTTCGAATAGTGTACAAGTTTGCGGCATTTATACTGTGAAGATATCAAAGCTTAAAATGACAACTGAATTTTGGGATCTGCTGTATATTGAAAACCATACATTTTCACAATATATATAGTTCTAATCCAACACAAAGAAGTCTAGTCTAGCTCTCTCCCTTTCTGTGTTTGTGACTCTCTTCTCTAAAAGGGAGAAACCTAACTCCCATTGTCATGATGCATTTTCTAACTTGTTCCTCTCCCTATGGGTGAACAGCCTCCCATCCTTGCCATAGACTATGCACACATCACCTCGCTCCATGCCGGGCTGCTCTGCTGCTCCAGGCTCAGGCTCTTATTCCCTGTGTTTGGCCATCCTTTGACATCCTCGCCTGTCCTGTCTGCATGGATTCTTCCCTCACCATTCTCTCACTCCTATACCCCTCATATGGACACTTCAGCTCTTCCAGTCCCCACCCCCCAGCTGGTGAAGGTGCCCACCTTGGTCAGCCTGATTCAATGGTTTTAAGACTGGATAATTCCGGAAGGGGAGAGGAGAGGGACATGAACAGGAGAAGGTAGAAGAGCTTGTGATTATTTTTCTTTGCAATCAGGTTGCACCTCATCCACTGTATGGCAAAGTACTCTCTCTGGGAGGTCACTGGTGTTCTTACCTCAGTCTTCCTCTTCCAGATCCTTTAGCAGCAGATAACACAGTTGATCATGTCTTCTTTCTTGAAAACTTCTGTTCCCTTTTATTTTTTTTTACTGTTATTTTCCTTTACGCATCCCTAAAATATTGATGCTTGCTTATGATTTCCCCTTGCCCTCCTTCTCTTCTTATTCTACACCATTGCTTCGAGTGAATGTATCTAGTCCAACATCACATGGGGAATTGTGGATGAATGTCTTTTATCCAATGCCAGACATAGTAGATGACATATCCCCAATTCAGAAGCTGTATCTCAGTTAAACAGTTAAACAACTTTCTTTGGCACAAGACTTTAAGATGCCTTTTGACATATTAATGGACATTCTGAATCTTCAGGAGGGTGATAATGTCAGTCCAAATTTATTTGGCTAGAAAACCGTGTTTCTCTATTTTTGGACTCTCTATTAACAACTTGCAAAAACACCGGTGTTTGGTGGAGCACAGGGTGGAAAGTGCTGCTTGGAAATGACGCTTAAAAGATGCCCCAGAAACATATCCAGGAGGCCTCATCACGGGCTGCCTTCCAAAGAGGAGAACATGTGACACATCCGATCAGTTGGCCCAATCTGGAGGTTCTTTAGAAGGAGGAGTACAAGCGTGTTTCTGTGTTGGTCTTGAAAGATACAGAGATGCTGATAGTGAACATTCTCAACATCTGTTCCCTTCAATTGGGTACAGTGCACATAAACCATAACTTTATGGGGTTTGAGTTTAGGTTATGGTGCTTTTTCTGCATATGCAAATTATTTATGTGCCCAGAGTCTCAGTTTCCTCATCTGGAAAGCAGGCATGAGAAAAA